CAGTGTTGGGTGTTTGATCTGCAAGCTAGTTCCTGGTTAGCTAGTTTAAATCTGTGTTACACTGATAAATGCTGAACAAGCTACAGATGAGAGAGTGAATGAAGGAGCAGCTGTCATCTCTTCCTATTGTCTTATGGCTTTTCAATTATAATTTTAACAACCGTTAAATTCTAATTTAAAACAACCACAGGAAAAATCCCAAGGAAAAGCAACAATGCTGGCAGCAACATATCATGAATGTTTATGAGCCTATGTTTCTGTATCAGCCTGCTCATAAGTACTACACAACATTTGTGGCAGGTTTATTGTGCTTAATTATTAATCTGTAGAAGTGAATGTGGGTAAATGGGAAATATGAAATAGGGACTTCTATTGCAATCTTACTGGCAAAAAAATTGTTTGAATATATTTCCACAAGGCAGTCCAGTTTTTCTTCTGTGATTTTTCTTTGTTTGCTGTTTTCTTTTTTTTTTTTTTTCTCCTTAAAGCTGTGATTCTGATGAATTCATCTTAATTTCTGAGGACCAAATAAAAGGTAGCCAGGGTTTAAGGAAGCTTTTAGCTGTTGAATGCACTTGTCACAAGGCAGCTGAGACAACCGATACCAGTGATGGTAGTAAATTGCCCCACAGCAAAAGGAAGAATGGAGGACAGGATAAGACAGATGGAAGGCTGGCTTGTTTGAAAGTTGATCAAGATTAGCTATTGCGCAAACAAAAAGCAAACCCAGAAACAACCTACTCAGCAAAATCCAGCTTGAAACTGGCTGAGTCACAGCATATTAAACTGTGGGCATGTGGCATCCCGTATGAGCTGGGCGGTTGTATCCTGCCGAGAGCTATGCTCTTCTGCTTCCCGGCAAACTGATTGGAAAGGCGTGCGGCGTCTGAGAACTGTGAAAAGGCTCAACCCAAAATCTTTAGATTGTATTTTACCCTACATTCCCTTTAAAAAACCCAAATATCTTACAGTTCGGTAAAATGCTTCCCTAGGCAGAGACTGAAGGAAAGCTGACGATGAGGGTACAGCAGGCCTGCGGGAGATGCCATAGGTGTATGGAAGTTGCAGTGTTTGCAGCACAGCCAGCTGTTAACAGGCTTCTCTATGGCTGCTAAGGTATTTGAAGCCTAAATACAGGAGGAAACAAGATTTATGTGCTTGTGCATAACTTGGGCCAAAGGTCTTGGAAGACATTAACTCCCTGAGAGTTTCATAAAGAGATGCTCTGTGGGTGCCTTTGCTGGTGGGGGGCTAATGCGTTCGCGTGTGCTCTGTGTTTCAGGGATAGAGCTCTGCCCTCCTGGGCACCGGTTCATGATCACCATGGTGGCGAGCTTCATCGAAATGGCGGGGCAGTTCCTCATGCCGGGGCTGGCTGCCCTCTGCAGGGACTGGCAGGTCCTCCAGGCAACTTGCCTGCTGATGCTGCTTTACTGGGTGTAAGTATTTCTTCCTCCTGTCGGGTCAAAGACGGCACGAGCTCCTAACGTTGGACTTGGGAGGTGCTTTGCTGCCTGGAAGTGTATGTGCTTCACCGTACACGTGAGCCTTTCCCTTTGTTGTTACATTCACCTTTGGCAAAGATTTGACTTTGAAATAAGAAATAATAACTTTACTGTAGCGTGCAGATAGGTTACGTGCTGCGACATGGTGGGAACTGGGGAGATGGTCTTCTTTCGTTGAGCAGCAAGTTGTACTTTGCTATTATTCTGGCTGTTACTTCTCCTTTAAAGATGAAAACAACTCTTGAGAGGATGCATCTCAGCCTAGCTGTTGTCAGATTGTGGCTGCACAGCTAAATTTTCCCTTAAAACCTGTATTGTGGTTCTGGGCTGTCACTGTTGGTTTCTTTGGCCTGGGTTAGCCAAGCGAGGTTAAAAATAACGCGTGTCAGCTCTTGAAGAAGCGCACTTGGACGTCTTGTGTGCGTGAGGCAGCCAGCCCTGAACTAGAACGCCTGCTCGATTTTGCCCGAATTAGCGCACACTGTGCCGAAGCCTGGGTGGCCGGTCTGTGCTGGGCAGTGGCTTGGGATCGCTCCTGCCAGGAATCCTCCTGGCTGCTCCCGCTCCTCTCTGCCTGCTGCGGTGGCAGCACTGCGGCATTGGTACAGCTATCCTGAGAGCAGTAGGGTGGCTCTCACCTTGGGGGTGGTGCCGAGTCCATCCCCACCAAGACTCTATAAATGTCCCAAAAAATCTGTTCTTTGTTGTTCTGTCTTAATAGTGACACGCAGTGGCGGCATAACACAACAGAGGCTTATGAGAACAGTGTTGTACAAAACCATAACAGTAAGAACGCACTAGATCATTCGTTTTAAAGGTAACACTAACAAGATTAAAATACTTAGTTGCTGTACACTGAAAAAAATGAGGAAAAAATGCCACCACACTGTGCAGGACGAAATTGTTTATGTACCATGGGGGGCCAAGCTGCCAGCTGTAATGCCTGACAAGTTGCAACATGTAAAAACTTGTTACAGTGTGTAACAATTTTTAACAGTTATATATTTTTCTATTAATGCGTGAAGGCCTTACAGAGTTCTCCTGCATTCATGGCAGTAGCCCTCAGCAGGGATTTCTTCGCTTACCCCCGAGGTAGACATGCCGCAGCTTGGGCTGAGGGTAAAATGTGGCACACCGGGAAAAGTTACAAGTCCTTTACAAGATAATGGCTTCCCCCTGCCCTCTCCACTCCCCCGTTTTCCAACATACAACATCTAAATAGTCTTATCTTGTCAGTGTTAATCTTGATGATGAATAAGCTAGAGCGCTCTTGTTAGTGTGTGATACTGTTCTCCCAAACCTGCCTTGCACATGCAAACTCACACACGTGCAGCTCTACTCCCAAACCTCCTATTGGGATGCCCACCAGCTGGAAAGCATTATATCCACCACTGGATAGAACCCAGTATCTAACATAATGTTTACAGATATTTGTGTCCAAAAGGACAGTACGATAGTATGAAGATGCCGAACGAACGCAATAGATGACATGGACAGCAGTAACCCCTCGGCGGTCTTCTGGAGGTGGTGCGTTTTCCAGGTGGCTGAGTCAGGGTCTTGTACATTCCTGC